ACATCTATAAAATATATATTTATATATTATATATAAATATTGTGTGTGTGTGTGTGTGTGTGTGTGTGTGCGAGTGCGAGTGCGAGTGCGAGTGTATGGATAAGTATATATATTTGTATATACTGTGCGTACATGAATAAGTATATACGTATGTTTAATAATATATTTTATTCTAGTATTATATAGTTATATTAGTATATTGTTATAGTATTTACCGTTGTCTTTTTCTTTTATTATATTTTATATATATACATATATATTCATTTATATATTTGTGTATATATATATATATATATATATATATATATATATATATTTATATACTTATATATATATATATATATATATATACTTATGTGTTCGCGTGTGTTGTTGTGCGAGGTTTTGTTTGTATGTGACTTTTTAGTTTCATATATATTTATATTACATATATCATACACGCCCGTGTCTGTATTATGAGACTGTCGAACGTATAGGACGTCTTGACTGTCTGATGTATATCGGAGGCTGTTAAATTGTGGCACCTCGAATCCTTCTACTATAGTATTGTATCTGCTGGTTCTGACTTGTCATTCACCAATCGATATATGGACTGTATTTTCGCGTCACATTCCTCGCCTTTCTCACGCCTGGTATCACCCTATATTCTTTTTTGTTTATTTGTTTTAGGCAAACCGCAGCCTGGTATACCTCAAATGAAATACGTAGGGAATATGCACGGCGACGAGTTGCTTGGTCGAGAGCTGCTGATTATACTGTATGTTGATGTCAAGCCTGTTTTATTGAATATAATTTTGTTACGGGTAACCGTTGTAGTACCGCGACATGTACGGGAATTTTGAATGCGATTCAGTCTGCGTATGCGATCGGTTATTGCGTTGGTCGAAGTTTGATACCGTCGCTATCAATTCTATTGCACCATCTGCAGAGCCGAGGACTTGTGCGAGAAGTATATGTCAAAAAACGAGACCATCACACAGCTTATCAGTGAAACGTCCATACACATTCTTCCTACGATGAACCCCGATGGACATCACAATACGTTGGCGATTCTCAACGAATTGGACGATTATAAGGTACATGTATTTTTCACCTCAGCTTGCTCATGTGCTGGATGTTCGGTACTAAATTACGGCATCTCTTATTCCCAATATCTCAGTCGGAACTGGTCGGTGCTCTGGACTATCCATTGTTTGTAAGGCCGATAGCATTGCGTCTCGTAAAATACTGTCCTCTCCTGTTGGTACATATATACCAGATTGTTTGTACGCCGGGTGTTTCCCTTACTGTCATGAGATACAATTTATCTTTCTAACCTGCACCGTATACTACTTGTATAGGACTGGTGCACACCCGAACACGACTTTGGGATCACCAAACCCAACTTTAAAGCGCGTCAGAACGCAAACATGTGTGACCTGAACCGGAATTTCCCCGACCGCTTCAACTGGCAAAACCAGCATCACTACCAGCACTGCAACACACAGCCTGAGACGACGGTATGATGCTGGCAAATTGGCTAAGTGTCTGAAATTTGAAATTACCATTGTGTGATATTTATGCATGAAAATCAAATTTATTGCAGTACTTCTTGTGGTCTGGGAGGTTGTGGCTGTGGTCGTGCACTGTAGAAAGTGGCTACGTGCATTTGCACAATCAATACACTCGTTTGTTTAGTGACTCTCAGAACCGCTTGGTACGATTCTATATCAAAAGACGTACGAGTTTCGAATGCTTGCTTGTGTTAACTGCGCTCGCTCAATATGAGCTGCTTAGTATAATGCGCCGCACATATTGGACCACCGCATGTGTGTGACGGAGAAGTTTTTGTACAACATCATAGCCTCAAGGGTGCATGCGAATCTCAGGCACATCATGAGCTATTCGTCGGTCGCTGTAGAACATAGTACGACTGTAGATAGCCACCATGTTTACTTTCTGAGTTCGTGTTCAGACCCTCTTCTCTGTGGTTCATATCACAGGCTGTGATGGACTGGATTAACGACAATAACTTTGTGCTGTCCGCAAACTTCCACGCGGGCAGTATAGTCGTGTCATACCCTTTTGACGGCTCGCCGTTGCAAATCAACAAGTAAGTTCGTGTTGATCGGTACAAGTACATACCAGCGCTCTATATTTAGATTCTATATATAGATTCTTGCCGATCCAGATCTGAATGCAATGTATTTCGCATCGATATATTTAACATGTGGCGTCGATGCATGTATTGGCAATCAAGAAGTGTTGAATCATCACCCGCCACGAGGTTTGTGGCCTAATCATTCGACAATTCCCACCCAAGTTTATGATGGTATGGCTACGTACAATAATCAAAAGTGTATGAGTACCGAACATGAGTATATCGTATACAGGTATTTATCAACACTTAAGCATCGAAACGAAGTGTTGCTGAGCTCATACCTGGCTAGCCCTATCATTCAACCAGCATATAAACTCTAGCACTCAATGGCCCAAATCTCTATAGCGTAGCTATGCAGCCGTCTCGAACATGGGATTGGGTGGGACTTGGCCTATGTGCACTCCGAAAGCTTTGTACCTCAATTGTATAGCTATACGGCTCTTCATCTCCTCCACGCCACGCACTTGACAGTAGTACAGCTATGCGACCTTTCGATACATACAAACATTACAATTCAAGTTTTCGCGCACCCTGAAGTAGTACAGCTACGCGACCCTTCAGTATGTATAAGCATTTAAACCCAAGTCTTGCCGTATCTTTCGACCGAACTACGTAGCTATACAGCCACCCCAGACGATGAAGTGTTCGTGCATCTGGCGCACGTGTACTCGGATAGTGTACCCGCCATGAACAGTGGAGATGTGTGCAACACAGGCAGTGCTACGCCCAACTTTACAGATGGAACCACGAATGGCATGTGCTATAGACGAACGGATGCTTGAGTGCGTGTTATGACATGCTTGTGTATTTAGATTGTTTGTTCTATCGTATGCGATTGTCTGTATTAGTGCAAGCATAGTGTGTAAGTATGAAGTGCCGTGCTGTAGTTGAAGACAGCAATCTGAAGTCGAAAAGAAAATCTTCAGTATGTTCTCATGGATAGCCTACATTTCTTCGTATTTTTTATTGATCTGCAGTTGATGATATACTCTGCATATGCATTACATGTACACATGTGTCCCCTAGAGTGTTCGTCGTTCGCTCGTGAGCCCTTGGTGTATCACGCAGCGTCTTGATATCTTAGATATACCTTCATTATCGCCAACTATTTCGATATCGCGATCTATTTGTATGTATGTATGTATGTATATGAATATATATATATATATGAATATATATATATATATATATATATATATATATATATATATATATATATATATATATATATATATATATATATATATATATCTATATATGTTTATATGTATGTGTATATATAAATATATATGTATATGAATATTTATGCATATATATATGTATGTATATAAATATTTATGCATATATATATATGTGGGGGGGGGGAGGGGGTCCTGAATGCCCTCTCTATAGACAATTTTTCAATCTCACTCATCCGTTGTGTGCTCATAGTTGACTGACACGGTTGTTTAATCTCACGCAATAGTTTGTGTACTGCAATTGCATTCGCACACTCTGTGTCCTATGAACTATAATAATACTGTGTTTGTGTTTATTACTTGAGTGTGTGTTTATTATTTGGTGTGTGTTTATCAGTACTACCTGTACATACTGTGTTTGGTACAGTCGGCTGACCTGGCCGTTTAATCACACGCAGGTGCTAGCTGGTACTCTCTATACGGCAGCATGCAGGATTGGAACTATCTCAACAGCGACTGCTTTGAGATCACTGTGGAGGTCTCGTGCTGCCGCAACCCACCGCCCACGGAGATTGAGATGCACTGGGGCATGCACGGCAATGCGCTCGTCAAGTACATACAGGCCGTGCACACAGGCATCAAAGGTATGCATACTAGGGTACTTCGAAACTAATCCGTGCACACACACATATGTATTAATATGTAAGATATATCTAAAACATATTACGATACACTGGTTGGCCACTCATGGGCCGTGTATACAGAATGCACAGGTGCGTCAGTTTCTTCGCTTCTAATTGGTTCCTTGTCTGTGCCCGTAGGAGGCAATGGGGTGTACGTCACATTGCTTCTGCACAGCGTCTTTGTCGTTGTTGTTTGGTGGGGCTTGTTTGTTGTTAGTCGTGCGCTGTACAGCGTCTTTGTCGTTGTTGTTTGGTGGGGTCTTGTTTGTTGTTAGTCGTGCGCTGTACAGCGTCTTT